ATAATGGTCCCTTCTGACCTTAAAGTCTATGAGTCTATGAAAGAGGTTGGAGGGCTAGCTGGTGCCCAGAGCTAGCTGGCCTCGAGAGTGTGGCAACGCACCGATCACGTTGACCTCAATGTCCTTCTTGTCCGTATTCTGGTGGTAGACCTCAGAGACGTGGCAGATGTAGGTGCCGGCGTCCTCCAGCTCTGCATTCTGGATGGTCACGGTGGAGCGGATGTCATGGCTGGATCCAGGCAAAAAGTCCGTCACAGGCTCCACGGCCTTACCTGCCTGCGCAGGGGAGAGAGGAGACCCCCACCCCACGAGATCAGCAATGACGAGACCGCCAGGCCAGGCAAGGGGAGCAGCTGCCAGGCTGGTTACAGAACGTGGGCTGCAGCACTCACCTCCTTGCGAGGGTAAAACCAGCTGAAATCCACCACTTCGTTGCCGCTCACAGTGCACATCACGGTGATGTTCTCGCCTTGCTTCACCATGGTCTGCACCGCGCGGATGGAAACATTGAGGGACGAGACTAAAGAGGAGGGAGTGAAACAGCAGGGGGTGAATCAATGTTTGGGAGAGCCAAACCCTAGGCAGGTGGCATGCTGGGACCACTGCCTCCCATCATTGTCTCATGGCTTCCTTGTTCTCCCCATCTGTCTGCATCCACCTGGTGTCTCTTGTCTTTTACTCAGCCTGTAAGCTCTCTGGGGCAAAGATGGCCGTGCAGTGCCTAGCGTTACAGGCCACTAGGCTTTACTGCAAATACAAATGAACAGGGATTACAATCTCAGCTGAGTTCAATGGCAAAATGTCCCAGGCTCTGACCAGCACTCTGGAGTCGGGCAGGGACATGATCTTAAAGAGATCCTGGGGAGCCCAGGGACCTCTGGGGAGCCAGGGGAATTCTGTGGGTGGGGCAAAGAGGAAGCCATTTTCTCAATGGAATCCAGCGTGGCTCTGACCAGGGCTGGCTCTGGCTTTTTTGCCGCCCTAGGCAGAAAAGCCACGCGCCGCCCCCCCCCTTCCCCCAACGTGGCAGGGGAGGGCGGAGAGCCCGGCTGGGGCTCTCCGCTCTCCCTGGCGGCCAGAGCTCTCTGCTCTCCCTGGCAGCCAGAGCGCCGGGAGCAGGGCGGAGAGCCCAGCCAGGAGCAGAGTGCTGGGAGCCCGGCTGGGGCTCTCTGCTCTCCCCGGTGGCCAGAGCGCTGGGGGGAGGGCGGTGAGCCCGCGGCGGCTCTCCGCTCTCCCCGACTGGCTGGCGTGCCCGGCCGGGGCCCCGCTCTCCCGGCGGCCAGAGTGCCGGGAGCAGGGTGGAGAGCCCAGCCGGGGCTCTCCACTCTTCCCGGCGGCCAGAGCGCTGCGGGGAGGGCAGTGAGGCCGCCGCGGCTCTCTGCTCTCCCTGACTGGCTGGCACGCCCGGCCGGGGCCCCGCTCTCCCCGACCGGCCAGAGCGCTGTGGGGAGGGCGGCGAGCCTGGCCGGGGCCCGCTCTCCCCAACCGGCCAGAGTGCCGGGGGGAGGGTGGCGAGCCCAGTCGCGGCCCCACTCTCAGGCCGGAGCGCCCCGCCGCGCCGCCCCCCTCCAGGCGCCGCCCCAAGCACATGCTTGGTGGGCTGGTGCCTGGAGCCGGCCCTGGCTCTGACATCTTCCACCTTGTGCCCACTTTACTGCCCTGTGAGAACGTCCCCTTCCCCAGGAGCGGAGCTGCGGGCAAAGCAGGGAAGGCGTGCATGGGCCCACGCTGAGCTCTACGCCTGCCGTCAGAGCTTGTCATTAGGAACGGCTCGGGCAGGAAGGACGGGGGTCTGCAGTCCCGAGAGGAGAGCCTGTTCCTCTTTTTGGGGGTGCTGCTGGAGCGCTGTGGCGGAAACTCAGAACTGAGCGAGCCCAGAGGCCTGGATTCTGCTTTTATTTACCATGGTATATGCTCATTATGGCAAAGCCAATGGAGAGCCGTTGGGGTGAACGAGGGCAAAATGTAGCCCATAGAAAGCAGTGCCCGAATCTCTCCAGCAGGACTGCCTTCTAGCAGACTGTTGTGCTGGGAACTCCCCAAGGTGCAGCATCAGCCTCACACAGGGATGAGCCAGATGCGTTCAGGGCCCTAGGACCATGGTGCTAGGATGAGGCCGGGAGTCTATATTTAGCCTTAAAAAGGGAGGCATCAACTCAACAAACTGGGAGGACTCGGCATGGAACAGCACCTGGCGGCGCCACACCACACACCAAGCCACAGCTCACTTGGAGGAGAACAGACGGGCTCATGAGACAGAGAAGTGACAAAGGAGGAAAGAAAGGGCACAACGCTCCAGCCAACAACTACGTCTCCTCCAAGATCACACCTGCCACTTCTGTGGGGAAATCTGCAGGGCAAGAATTGGCCTCCTCAGCCGCTTAAAAACTCACCAATGACCCCACTTGGCAGACATCATCCTCGCCTCGAGGCTTAGCCAAAGAAGATATTGAGCCTGGAGAGAGGCTGAAGCTGCCCTTAGACCAGAGGTGGGCACACATCCGGCCCGCGGGATCGTCCTGCCCGGCCCCCGAGCTCCTGCCCCGGGAGGCTACCCTGGCCCCTCCCCCGCAGCCTCAGCTCGCTCCACCGCCAGCGCAATGCTCTGGGTGGCGGGGCTGTGAGCTCCTGGGGCAGCGCAGCTGCAGAGCCCGGCCTGACCCGGTCG